TTTAACTTGTGACTTAAATGTTAACACCTAAATATTTAACTTGTGACTTAAATGTTAACACCTAAATATTTAACTTGTGACTTAAATATTTAGTTTTGAGCTAAATATTTAAGTTGCAACCTAAATATTTAGGTATCTAGCTAAACATTTAAGTCACAAGTTAAATATTTAGGTGTTAACATTTAAGTCACAAGTTAAATATTTGGGTGTTAACTAAACATTTAAGTCACAAGTTAAATATTTAGGTATTAATTAAACATTTAAGTCACAAGTTAAATGTTTAGGCGTTAACTAAACATTTAAATCACAAGTTAAAAATTTAGGTGTTAACTAAATATGTAAATCATATGTTAAATATTTAGGTGTTAACTAAACATTTAAGTCACAAGTTAAATATTTAGGTGTTAACTGAACATTTAAGTCACACATTTAATGTTTAGGCATTAACTGCACATTTAAGTGACAAGTTAAATATTTAGGTGTTAACAAATATTTAATTTGAAAGTTAAATATTTAGTTTATAAACTATGACATTTATAAATGTATGAATCATATGGTGAAAAACTGACTTTGAAAAATAAATCTGTTCTTTTATTCGTATAAAAGGTTAAATGAAACAAAAATATTGGTGGTAATTTGTGACTGTGTAACTTTACAAACGGCACCACATAATAAATGTCTTTAAAACGAAACGTTTGTGTTTTTTCTCGTTAAAGATGGAGCCCAGCAGGACAATCTGAGATCTTCACAGCTTAGATGTTTCCTTCAGGAGAACCAGGTTTGAGTCGTTTCACTTGATGCCAAACATCTGTCACATTTTTCTGCTGTTTGTCGATGAACAGAACCAGGTCCAGATGTTGGTTCTGTTGTTTGTTTGGACCGAGAGACGTTCTGCTGTTTGTCAGAGTTCCTGTAAATAAATCTGAGCTTGGGTTTCTTTGGACGCCTCGACTCCAACGTGCAGAAGTTCAGATCAGGGAAGTCCTGATCCAGGAACGGGTCTTTTTGTTCTGATGGACTCAGCTGAGGGAGGTCCTGTTTCGACACAAACTCAGATTTTACAAACCTTTAATGAGAAACGACATCAGAACTGTGTCGTCACTGAAATAAAACAAATAAAAAGTTTTTTAGCTCCTGAATGAAAACCATCAGCTGGATGTTTTATGGTGTTCGGTGGTTCGAGCTGCTCGTTGTGTAAAAACCTCCAACATATTTCTTCTCTCCAGAGAGCTGAGTCATCGTGACCTTTGACCCCCGCTAACATTACTCAGCAAATCTGGTTTCAGCTGAACCCGATGTGACGAGTCAGAGACAAACAAAAACATGACTGATAGTAAAAATGTTTTCATTTAGATACGAGACAGAAAAGGTTTGAATTTATTATCTGAAAACTCGACATGAGCTCAGATGGGTCCGGTTCTGGTTCTGGTTCTGGTTCTGGTTCTGGTTCTGGTTCAAGTTTGAGGTTTTCACAGGGTTTAAACTCCCTGAGCTTCGTGTCGATTCATCAAACTGTGGATTAATACAAAGACAAGAAGGAGGTTAAACCTCTGAGACTCCAGGGCTTTGAACACTGGAGGAGAGGAGAGGAGGAGAGGAGAGGAGAGGAGAGGAGAGGAGAGGAGAGGA